CTGCAACCATTTTTGAATCATCTTCAGCAAAATTTTACCTGCATGTGATTTTAATGATACTGTTCAATAATTTCTGCATTCTGTTGGATCACCTTTCTTTGGAATGGGCACAAATGTGGATCTCTTCCAGTCAGTTGACCAGGTAGCTGTCATCCAAATTTCTTGATACAGATGAGTGAGCACATAGTAGGAGATATATAAATTAGTGGTCTGTATAATATGTTCCCTTTGTAGGTCACAAAGTGTCTGCAAGGCAGGAGACTGCTCAGATGCACTGCTGGTCTTCTCTCCTCACTGCTTGTAGATTACAGGCTGAGCTGTTAAGCCTAAAGGGTTAAGAAAGGAGAAGACTGCCCTCCCGCATGTCTCCTTCCCATGAGAGGAGCAGGTTGGAGGGAACACTTCCTAGCCTACCTCTCTATTTCATACTCACTCCTCCCTGGGGGAAGAGTAGATGATTTTATGGGTAAGAGCCTGACAGTTCCTGGGCAGTGTTTTCCTGGTAGGTAGGATGACTGTGGTCAGTGTCATTTCTCAGGTGTGGCTTCTCTAGCCCTCTCTGTTCATTCAATGAATCAGGTGTGGTGGGAGTGGGTGGGCTGGAGGAGAGTAGAAGGCGCCTTTGGCTGATGTCTAAACTGAGGTCTCCTATCCAGCTTTAATAGAGAGACCTGCATTTTGGGTTTTGGTGAATCTGCCTGCCTGACCTTTAATAAAGTGGATGCTTTGCTTGGATCCCTACTGAGTAGTGACCCTCATGTCATTTTCTTTATTGGCCTGAACTGGAGGGTCAGGAGAATGAGTCTGAGGCTTCTTAGTCTTCAAGACACTTTGATTTTTCTACTATAAACTCCTCAGGAAACTCCTTCCCCAATTCCTCCCCGAACTCCATAAACTTCCTGCTGCCCTACACTGTCCCCCACAACCTCCCATCATTTTGGCAAGAATTTTTGCCTGTCTCAAAGCTACAGCTTGAGAAAGAAACACAATAGAGCTTTCCATCTAAGATGGGAGACATTTTTGGTGGAATTGTGACTGTGTCCTTGTGTTGGGGGCAGGGTAGGTAAACTAGGAAAAGTGGGCAAGTGGCAAATTTATATACCAGGAAAAAGCAAAAGAGGGAGGGAGATTATTTCCTCTGTCTCTAGCTCTGAACACATTTCCAGATTTTTCTGGGCCTGCACAGCACCAATCTTGCATTGTAGTAGGTTGGTCACTCTGCTGATCCACAACTCATGTTGGTACTTAATATGTGCCAACCTCTCCCACTTCCCCTGATCCTGGGCATTTTTCACTGTAAAGACATACGGGACTCAATGGGAGAAGACGAGCATGGGCAAATGAAAGTCTGTTTCTGGGTACAAATGGAGGAGAGGCTGTCCACTTAAGGGCAGGCAGGATGGCAGGAAGGGCGCTGTCTCTGACTCTGTTGTCTTACCTCAGGATAGATGAGAAGATGTACTCGGAAAACAAACAAGACCCGATCTCTTTTGTAGGAGTACATCATGGACACCAGTAGTCTTGACACAGGACGTTGTGTGCTAAGCGACGAGTTGAAGAAACCATGTGAAGGCAAACACTAGAGTTGTTCAAACGTGGTCTAGATGGTGAAATTGTCATTATCAATCACCTGGGAGCTTATTAAAAATTCAAATTTCTGGGCCTTACTTCCATGAGATTTAGATTCAGTGGGTGGGGTGGGGCCCAAGCCTCTGAATTTTGAATAAACACCTCAAGTTAGGGGATGGCTGATTTAGAGGAGCACTTATAATCATACCCATCCAGTACCTACTATATACCAGGCATTGTTCCTAGCATATTAAATGTGTTAACTCATTTAATTTTCATGATAAATTTAGGAAATACAACCAGAATGTTCCTTAGAAGTGAGGATAGGAAGATTTTGACTTGCTTACTTTGGATACATCATCAAGAAAGACCAATTGTTAGAAAAGCACATCATGTTTGGTAAAATTGAGGCCTAACAAAAATGAGGGGAACCCTCAATGAGATGGATTGACACAATAGCCACAACAATGGACTCAGACGTATCAGTGCTCATGAAGATGGTGCAGGACCAGGCAAGGTTTCATTCTGTTATACATGGGGTTTAGTCACAGCCAGTTCAACGGCGACTAATAACAATAACTGTTATTGCCATTTTACAGAATAGGAAAATGAGGGACAAAAAAGTCTAAGTGATCTGGTCATAGTCATACAGCTTGTAGGTGACAGAACTGGGATTTAAACCCAGGCAGTCTGGCTTTAGAGTCAGTGCTCTTAACCATCCCCTGTTGCTACAGTACATCTATCACTATAGCAGAGATTTGTGCATCAAGGAGAAGGTTGGACTAGATGACTTTTGAACGTCCCCTCTCCTCTGGGATTTTATAATTCTCAATCAGCAGGCGTAGGAGTTTGTAGAGATAGAAACAAGTAATGCACTCAGCTTTAGAGACGTTGACTCTGCGCAGGAAAAGATTATCCAATAGGCAAGGTAAGCACGGTGCTTACCAGATCATCTGTAATGGACAAGTTCACATTTTTTCACCCCATTAAAGATTCTGCTTCTAGGTATGCTTGACATCTGTCCCTCTCCCAATCCCCACAGCACCTTCCTACAGAATCAAAGCCTTTTTTCAAATTCACAGTCACTGGATTACCCAGTCAGCAAGGTAAGCATAAGTAGATATGGTGAAAACCATGTGAAATTGTTCACTACAGATTAGTAAGTAAGCACAAGTAAGCCTATGCTTACTTTGTTTATTGGGTAATCTACCCCTGACTCTGAGGAGCTAATGGGATATTTATGTGGAAATGATGGTTGGCATTTGGAAACATGGAAGGAGATATTAGGGCTGGCATATGATTTAGAGATTTAAAATTATCTGGTGGTGATATGGCAGACACTGTTGTTTACCCACTCAACAGCCACGCACTGCCCTTTTCTTCCTTACTGGCATGCCTCCCATGAGAGTGATGAAAATGACAGATTCTTGCTTTTCAGATTCTTTTGCAGTGGGGCTTGGGCATTTGACCCTGTTGTGCCTGTTGACCCTGTTGAGATATAAGGCAGCTTCTTTGGTAAAAAGAGGCCCCTGGGTGCCACAAGTGGTTTGTGATTAGCTGCTAACCTAAAGGTTGGCAGTTCGAACCCACCCAGTGGCTCTGCAGAAGAAAGGCCTGGAGAACTGTTTTCGTAATAATTACAACCAAGAAAACTCTATGGAGCAGTTCTACTCTATAGCACATGGGATCACCATGAGGTGGACTCAACAGCAATGGGTTTTGTTTTTTGGTAAAAAGAGACAGACGTGAGCAGAGCCACTCCCACCAATTCCCATCCCTGCCACCTTCCTGTCTTTGTAAAATGTTGTATGAAGATGTGATGCTTGGGACTTGTTGGGAAACCTCCAAGAGAATCACAGAGAAGCTGATCTAGAGCCCTTTATATCACTGAGTTGCTGAATTGACCAATCTTATCAGACTTTATTTTCTGTGAGATAATAAACTACCTCTAGACCTATAGACTCACTTGCAGCTGAAATTATCCTAGTTGATGTAGTCTCAACCTTTCTACTCCCATGGGTTCCCAGCACAGTGCCTGGCACGTAGTAAGCACTAGGTGGATGCTTGCTGAGTGGATGAATGGGAATCAAGTGAAGCAGAAGCCTTGACAGTTGAGGAAGTGGAAGACGGGGGTAGAGAGAAGATGAGAGGGTCCAGGAAGAGACCCTAGAAGCACAGGGTGCAGAGCAGAGCAGGAGCTGCCAGAAAATGTGCTGGGAAAAGAACAGTGAGAGGGCTTGGAGAACCAGGAGAATGTAGCATCGTGGAAAGTCAGTGAGGAGAAAGCTTCTAGAAGGGGTAATTGTGTTTGCTTCTACAGGGAGAGTGAAGAGAGTCAAGACTGGGAAACAGTTACGAGGTTTGTTGTTGTTAGTGACTTTTGGGATGGCAGTTGTTGCAGACTGGTGGGTGTGAGAAGGCAGAAGCAGGGATGGGGAGGGTGTTGGTGGTGAGGAAGTATAGGGCAGCAGGTTCGTCGATGAGGTAGAGGGGCAGCTGAAGAGGGACAAGACTTTGCAAAGCATTTTTTGGGATGTAGAGACTGAACAGGTTTGTAAGTGGAGAAGGAGGAGGGGTTTAAGATCAAAAGGATAGGGTAACTAAGGAAAAATCCTAGGAGAGTGGGGCATCCTGCCTCCCTTCCCAGCTCAACAAAGCCACCACAGAGCCAGGCAGTGGCGTCACTAGGGGGCTGCAGGGGATGCGGACCATATCAGGTGACACTGTCAGAGGGGGTGACACAGAAATGACCGTCCATAAAATTTGCATGCAGTATTCAGCAGAAATTTATTATTTTTTTATAAAAATATCCCTGTAGTTAGTTACAACAAAAACATTTTTCGTAAGGCCGGTTTACATGTATCGATATACCTACAAGGCTAAAAATCTATGCTCGTTTACTTTTTGGACCTTCTAATGCACCCCTGTCAGAGCTGTCATTATCAGCCAATTACAATGATGGTTTGAATCACGTGGTTTCATCTGCACGAGCTATAAGCCCATGCTGTTGTTTTTGTTGCTGCTAGTGTTTTTATAGTTGCTGATTTTGTCAGATTTTCTGGTATTTTAGCTACAATATTGTGGTAATTAGTATTTTTGAAACTATATCAATAACTTTTTTGAGAGTGAAATAGTAATTAAAGGAAAAGGAGTGATATATGGAAATTATGATTTATAAGTAACATTAGTACAAAAAACATTACTAAGGATTCTGTATGATCTGGTGCAGGAGGAGGTCCATGGGGGAGGTTACACCGTAAGTTACCGCACTGGGTGACATCAACCCTAGTGATGCCACTGGAGCCAGGTGTGGGATGCAGGGCTTTAATGCAGGTGTTTGATGGGCAGTGGAGATGGTGGTTGGGACGAGGGAAGTGTAGGTGCTATAGGCACCTCCCATGGCCCAGCCTGGGATATAGGTATCCACGTCATTAGGGCCTCATGACTTCACAGGCATGAGGGAATAGGTGTTTCAGATTGTCCATGGTTTCTTTCACCGTTTTGTCTAGATTCTTCCTGATTTCATGGTCAAGCTTGGCCAGTTTCCTCTGAGGTGGTTACTGGGGAATTATAGGAAAGAAATATCAAGGTAAATTTGGCCTCATCCTCCACCATCCCCACCCCTCAGCGCTGGCATAGAAAATGGACTCATTTGAATCTCATTTACATTTAATTTTTGTGTCCCCTCCTACTCCCACAGCTTCCTTCTTTTTCTATCCCCATGTATTTCCTCCCAGGTAGCTTCCAGCCTCCACCTTTTTCTACTTAATGCCTCCCCTCTTCCCTGGCTCATACCAGCTCTGGGAGTGACTTCTGTGGTCTCTTCTAATTGAAGTTCAGTATTTCTGAAACTGTCTTCCTGGGGTATTGGGTGAAGGAGCTCAGGCTGTTGACTCTTTTGATCTCCTGGTGGATGTATCACTACATCCTCTTCAGACAGCAAGTCTTCTCTGGATATGAGAAGCTCCTTAGAAAGGTCTTCACTGGAGTCATGGTCCTTCCTGGGGTGGCTAATAAGGATGAACTGGGCAGCTGGGACCAAGGATATGGAGGCAGTTAGAGGCAGAGAAAGAGAGCTCACGGTGAGAAGCAGCTCGCCAGTGCTATATTATCTCCTTAACATGTGAAGGCTATCAGGGTTGTGTCATTGCCCAATTAGCGTGGAAGCAGGATTGAGGTCTCACACCAGAATCCAAATCCATGAGCTTCCAAAAGGTACATCTTTGATTTTGAATGCCATTAGTTAGGCACTCCACTTCTCTCAGCAAATTCACCTTTCCAGATAAGAGATTAACTATGCAAACACCTGGCCAGTGTCTAGTGCATATGAGGGGTTCAGTAAATAAATATTGTTTTTTTTTTCTCTGAATTGTGAGTATTGCTTGAGTCTGCCTTCTGTGGCTTCTACCACCACCAAATTAAAGAATGCCAGCATGAGAATATAGACTTCTGGGCATCTGTGGGCTGAACCTCCAATTGGATCTCATGTTCTGGCTCTGAAAAAAAAGGTTAAATTCTCCAGAGTTCTAAAGACACTTAACATGGAAGTCAACCCTATATGCTGTCCCAACATTCCTACCTCCCGTACCCTGCTTTATGGTTTTCTTACCACTTCTAACACACTATGTAGTTTATTTAATATATTTACTGTTTGTTTCTTTCTGCTAGAATGTAATGTCAAATCTCAATGACGACTGAGGTATCTGTCTATTTTGATCGTCAGTGTATCTCAAGTGCCTAGAACTATGCATCTGGCACAGAGTAGGTGCTCAATAAATAGCTGTTGAATGGATGTGTGTGTATATCTTGTCTTCATTGTACAGAAGGAGGCAGGGAGATCTACAGAAAGGTGGTAACTCGCTTGGGTTGTCCAGGTGAATCTCTGTTGATCCATAGTCTGCCCTGATTTGGGTCCACCTTGGCCCCTCTGACCCCACCCCCAGGCTTTCTAGGGTGCAGGATTCTGGGGGGGTGTGCCCTAACCTCCCCTCCCCTCTCTCCATATCTAAGTCATCCCAGGTGTGAACTTTTAGTTTTGTATCTCCCCACCTCTTCACCTAGCACATCACAAGGGTTAAGGAAGGGCCTTCCTAGTGCTGAGCTCTCTGCAGCTGATAGCTCAGCGACCTCTGGGGGACAAAGGGGAGTGGGAAGGAGGCCAGACTTACCATTAAGAAGGAGAGAGAGGCAGAGGCTAGGCTGGCCAGCAGCAGGACCGTGAAGAATTTTCATGATGGAGCTGTAGTTGCGTCTGTTTTCCCTGGGGAGGCCACTGGAGTTGCTGAGGAGTCAGGCTGGCAGGTCTTTATTTATTTTGGGGTGGGGGTGGGCTCTGGGGGGCCTGGCTCAGGATTGGACCTAGGAGCACACCAGGTTTCCCCTCCCAAACTCCCCATTCTGAATACATTTCTTTTTTGGGAACTGGAGCTTCTGGGAAATCAGTTAATAGGGAAGAAGGTTCCCAGCCTTCCCCCCTGGCCCAGGCCATGCCCAGGGTGTGCCAGCACCAGGCTTCATCCCTCAAAGTGCTTGGAATAACTGAGTGTGAGTTACCCTCCTTTATTCTACTTACTAATGGTAAATTTTACTTTTATTTGTGCGATCATTTAATTAATATCTATCTTCTCCAGAAGAATAAAACTTCCATGATGGATTGTATCTGTTTTGCTTGCCATTGTTTTTCCATCACCTAGCAAGTAGCTGGCACATAGCGGGGGCCTGGAAAATATTATTTGGGTGAATGAATAAAGAAAGGGCCCAGCTGTCCTCTAAGTTGCAGATAAAGCTCCTCGTCAGTTCAGGAATGAAGGAGTGAGGCAGTTACAGGTATTTTGGCTGTATAATAGGCACTGTCTGTGTTTGAAGGAGACTTGGTGGCACAGTGATTAAAGCGCTTGTCTGCAAACCAAAAAGTTGGAGGTTGGCACCCACCAGCCGCTCCGTGGAGAAAGATGTGACAGTCTGCTTCTGTAAAGATTTACAGCCTTGGAAACCCAATGGGGGCAGTTCTATACTGTCCTATACGGTCGCTATGAGTTGGAATCGACTCGATGGCAGCGCATTTGGTTTTGTTTTGTTTGGTTTGGTCCTGTGTTTGTTCACACGGGATAACTCATTTAAATCATGGTGGCTGTGAGGTTCATGTTCTCATTTTTCAAGAAGAAAATGATGTTCACAAAGTGAGGTGACTTGCACAAGCTCACACACGTGGGTGGATCTGACCTAGGTTAGTATGATTTAAATTCTACACTTTCCACATCCAGGGTCTGGTGGCTCAAAAAGTGAGCAGGGTGGAGCAGTGGGATGCCGCTGAAGAGGAGGTGGGGATGTACCTAGGACTTGGGACCTTGTCCTAGGCCTACGGGCTGAGCTAGCTGATCTCTAGTGCCCTCTTTCAGCTGAAAGTTTTGATGATTTCTCGGAAAGCTCTGTTTTTAGACTCTGCCCAGAAAGGAGAGGGCTGCCAGACCCGGAGACTGAATCTCTTGTCCTCAGCATGGCTTGCTGGCTATGTGGGGGTCCCACTGAGGGTAAGGTCCTACCTGTAGACCCCAAAGAAGCTCTAGACTGTGCTAACCAAATCGAGGCCTTCCCTTCCCTTTGGCAGCAGGAGGGGAGAGCCCCAAGGGGTTAGCACTGCTCTCTCCTTAGGCAAGATTGTGAAGTGAAGGAAGTTTGTCTTGGGCTGCCTCCCACCCTCTCTTCGTCTCTGGCTTCCTTCTTTCAGCAGCTCCCTCCCCTCCCACAGCCCAGGGCACTTAGGAACAGGAAAGGGACAGATGAGGCCACTCACAGTAAGTCCTTGAGGACACAGTTTCAGCCCTGAAGGCTGATTTCCTAATATCCCTAATAATCCACACGTTTAGGTCTCCATCATCTCCAGACAAGTTTATTTCAGTAGTTCTCATTTCTCTTCTGGTCACCAGTCTGTCTCCACTACAGTCTATCCTCCACACTAATGCCAGAGGAATCACCCGAAGTTCATGCCACTTCTCTGCTCAAAAGTCTTCTATGAACGTGGAGGAATCTGGAAGGTATTATGCTGAGTGAATTTAGTCAGTCACAAAAGGACAAATATTGTATAAGACCACTATTATAAGAACTCAAGAAAAGGTTTAAACACAGACGAAAACATCCCTTGATGGTTATGAGGGTAGGGAGGGAGGGAGAGGGTTATTCACTAACTAGACAGTAGACAAGAATTACCTTAGGTGAAGGGAAGGGAAACACACACTACAGGGGAAGTCAGCACAACTGGACTAAACCAAAGCTAAGAAGTTTCCTGAATACAACCAAACATTTCAAGGGGCAGAGTAGCAGGGGCTGGGGTCTGGGACCATGCTTTCAGGGGACATTTAGGTCAACTGGCATAACAAAGTTTATTAAGAAAATGCTCTGCATCCTACTTTGGTGAGTGGCGTCTGGAGTCTTAAAAGCTAGTGAGCAGCCATCTAAGATGTATCAATTGGTCTCAACTCACCTGGAGTAAAGGAGAATGAAGAACACCAAAGTCACAAGGAAAGTATTAGCCCAAGAGACAGAAAGGGCCACATAAACCAGAGACTGCATCAGCCTAAGACCAGAAGAACTAGATGGTGCCTGGCTACCACCAGTGACTGCCCTGACAGGGAACACAACAGAGAGTCCCTGATGGAGCAGGAGAAAAGTGGGATGCAGAACTCAAATTCTAGTAAAAAGACCAGATGTAATGGTCTAACTGAGACTGGAGGATCCCCAGGAAGCATGGCCCCCAGACTCTATGTCAACCCAGAACTAAAACCATTCCCGAGGCCAACTCTTCAGACAAAGATTAGACTGGACTGTGGGACACAAAATGATACTCGTGAAGCGTGCGCTTCTTAGCTCAAGTAAATACATGAGACTAAATGGGCAGTTCCTGTCTGGAGGTGAGATGAGAAGGCAGAGAGGGTCAGGAGATGGTTGAATTGTGGGGATATATGCCATTTAAACATGGCTGCACTATTGATATTTGCAGCCCCCACAGGCCTCTATGCTGTATACGACATGTTGGAGACTTGTCAGCGATGAGAAAGAGATTAGGCACGACTTGTTTTCCCAAACCTATTGTCCTATTACTGATTGGCTTGTTTACCTGAATTACTTCTCCCTTGCCCGAAACTTATTGTTACTCACCCGAAGCCCATTGTTCTGTTATTTGCTTTACTGCTTGCTGTATTGACTATAAAATAAACTCCTGGGACTGAAGGGGTTCGACTCCTCAGAGTGACCCTTCTGGCCCCACTTCTCTGTAAGAGTTGTGGCATTGGTTGTTGTCTCCGCCGCCCCGACAACAGTCGCCGCTGCGACATTGAATGGACATGGGAAATCAGGGGTGGAAAGGAGGAGTGTGCTGTCACAGTAAAGGGAGAGCAATTAGGGTCACATAACAATGTATGTATAAATTTTTGTATGAGAGACTAACTTGAATTGTAAACTTTCACTTAAAGTACAACAATTAAAAATAAATACATAAAGCTTTATTGGAATAAAAAAAAAAAAAAGAGTCTTCAATGACCATCCATTACCCTTAGGATAAAGTCCAAACTCCTTGGCCAGGTGTTCAAGGCTCTTCACCTTTCCAGCCTCATCTCTTACCCCTGTGAACTCTATGCTCCAGTGGTATCAAATTATTCCCCACTCTCTGAAGTGCCATATCTGTGTTCATGCCATTCCCTTTTTTAGGAATCATCTTTCCTCTTCTTCTGCCTGGTGTACTCCTACGTCGTGATCCAGACGAGATGTCACCTCCTCCCTGGAGTGAACCCAACCTCCCACTATTCTGTCTTCCTTGTTTAGTCATCTAACCTCTACACAATACATTATTCCTATTTTCATCTTTTCATTATTACATTCTACTACTGTTTATTGACCACCTGCCATGTGGAGATATAATGGTGAGCAAAATTGCCTTGACCCCTGTTCTTTTAGCCTTTATTGTCTAGCACTTACCACACTCTATTGTAATTATCTGCCTTGAGATCTATTGCTCCTATTGGTCAGTGACCATTTTGAGAGCAGAAGCCATATTTTATTTCTCTCTGTATCCTAATTTATATAGCATAGATCTTAACACTTGGTAGGTGATCC